AGAATGCGGAATTGTTGTGACAATGCTTCGGTTCGACTAAGGAAGGTGTGACCAAAGCATTCCACCTCAGTGGCAACAAGAAGGCAATCATCACTACACTCAAGGCGCTCAAAAAACATCACGTGAATCATGCTGGCACATGTAAACATGTGAGGAGCGGACGAAACACTTTACTTGGCCCTAGTACTTTTTTGAACGTTATTGTTTTTGGGGGAGACCTTATCGTTTTACAGTGTTTTCGAACTTTGGCAGATGTCTAGTAGTACAAGTCTAGTACGAGAAGTACACTTCCGCATCTCCAGCTCGAAAATCGCAACTTTGTCGTGCAAGTCTAGTACGCGAAGTACACTTCCGCAGCTCCAGCTCGAAAATCGCAACTTTTCAGTACAAGTGTCGTATTTACGAAGCACACCTTGGCAGCTCCAGCTCGAAAGTGGCGACTTGCCTTCTCGTTTTACGGTGGCCACGCAAGGGTCCCACCCTAGCTAAGTTGCAACTGCAGGGGTTATTATAGAGCCGTGTGTTAGCTAAGGGTTATCGTTTTTGGGGGAGACCTTATCGTTTTCCATGATTTTGGCATGTGTTATGCAAAAACGTACCCCGCCTTGCTAAAGTGGTCTTCGCGTGTTTTGTCCGTGGCTCATGTGCAACCGAAACCCTTGCCCAGTGGCAAACAGGGGGGACAAATAAACATAAACCAAGAATACCCGTCCCCTGTTGGTTTCCCTTCGGGTAAACCAGCAACAAGAGTCACTTCGCACGAAACAGCGGCATACCCGAGCACGCCTCGGATGGGCACTTTACCACCGGACGGGCGAAGCCAGGCTGGGGTACTGCCGCCTGACTCGGGGGTGGGGATACCTCTGCCTGAAGGGCACCCGTTTCCCTCGCTGCTTTTGTCAAGGGAGCCGACCAAAGCTTTTCAAAGCCCGTTTCTCACAGGTTGAGGCACCTGCCGTCTTTACTTTGGGGTGTCAAGCAACTGGTTTGCATTCTGGGGCTTGGAGATACCCTTTTTCTAACAATCACGGAAGGGGACAAGTGGGCTCTCTCACCGGACGGTAGTCTTCCAAAGCCACTCTGTCCGTTTCCAGAATTGCTGGAGAGAGGGTGCCTGTTTCCTTTCTGGTTAATTATGGGGGCTGGATGGCAGCAGTTTCCCTTTCCGGAATCTTCAAAAACAAAGGTTGGGTACATCCAATTCATCCTAATTTCTATTGAACCACAAAGCAGAACCCTTTCGTTTCAACCGCCGCCCTTTTCGACAGTTGAGGTTCCCTTACGTCCATCAACTCGAAGAGTTGCTGCCTTCCTCGCGGGTAACAAGTGGGCGCTCAAGGTTGGGCCCCGAACTGCGTCTTGGCTTCTCTTAGCCAACCCAAGGGCGCCGGCAAAGAAAGACACACAGGCCAGCTGGAGCCTGCGCCGTCTCCGAATCCCATGCTTCAGCCACATGGAAGGAAGTCAGCTGCGTGCTCAAGACATGGAGTCTGGATTGAACACATACTGCATCATACTACATCCCTTTTTGGTTTCCAAAAAAAGAAAACATATGGGGTGTCTTTGTTTTGAAGGGGACCCACCACACGGCGGCTTTCCTTTTGGCTTTCCACAAAGCCACCAAACAAAGGGTACCCTCAACAAAACAGAAGGGCCAGCCATGGGGCCTCCGTTTCTTGAAACACGCCAGGGTATAAAAACGGCCGGTTTCAAAATGCAGGCCCCACAGCGAGCCCCTATTCGCCCCTTGGCCCAAACCCAAGCGGGCAGGAAAAGCTGCCTCCCGGCACTGCAGGCTGCAACTCGAAGCCGTTCTGCGCCCGGAGCAGTTGGAGATGTCCTCAGGACTCAAATGGGACACCCCCAATCAAAATCAGCAAATCAGCAGTGCCCAAACCCAGCGACTTGTGGTACCAACATGGCTACAAAGGCTTGTACACGCCATATAACCACCGTTGTGGGATTTACAAACGTGTGATGCACATATCTGCCAACCGGCGATCATGCTGCCAATTTCAAACTACAGGCATAACCTCGTGCTACGGTTGTCACACTGCGCGTGGCTGGTCCCCGAATTCACCACACTTGCCAACACTGTCCCTAGACATCCACAGTAAGTTTGCAAGCGACCGCCAGCAGTTGGTTCATTTGGGAAAGCTTCACCTCATATTGCTTGCACGGTGCATAGTACTCCGCTGGGGGAAGCTGACAGCTATAGTCCGCCACCAACCTGGGAGCATCAGCATGCATCAGCAAAAGTCAAGGCTTAACGACCCCCAAACAAACAGAGGGTGACACACAAAGTGCGACACACAGAGCGTGGGTTGCTGTCCCGTTCGGTTAATTACTCTAGACAGTGTCCAAAAGCATCCACGTCCAATTTTGGGAGACCCCAAAATGGGCAAAGCCTTTTTGATTCCATAGGCATGTTTCAGTCCGCCAGCGAAATTATCGCCTTCCCCCCTGGTGCTTTGGATTTATTCGAATGAACCCCCGCAAAAAAACTGCCTTTGTGACGTGAAATCAAAGCAAAGAAGCACCCATCAAAATGGCTTTGCTTCAAAAAAGCCGCTCTGGTGCAACAGCAGTGTGTGAGACTCCAGATCAGAAGGGGTGGGAGTTCGGGTCTCTGGCCTCATTTGCGCGCGCGGAGATCACTTTCGAGCGAGCCGCGACCTTCAGCGCCTAGCAGCTACTTTCACGCGTTTCTGGCGTGCCCAGCTTCCTGGCCCTGAGAACCAAGATCAAAGGAATCGAATTCAAATAGCCGGGGCGAAGCGTCAATGCTTTGGATATCCGCCAAAATGGTTTGCCTTGGCTGCTTTCCAGATGCCAACAAGAATTAGTTTTGCTTGGGTGGTGCTTTCTGAAGACAATCCAAAAATGACAATTTGAAGTCAACACCGCAAAAACACAACAGAGTTCAAAAGTCCTCTTGCAGTCCCCTCCAGCCATCCCTCTAAACCAACCCATGTTTGCTTCACGGTGGAACTCCCCGTGACCTGGAAAGAACGAAAAACGTTTTCCGGCCGCGCTCCGAGCGGCTGCAGAGCTGCGTCGGTGACGAGGATGGCCTCCGTGTGCAGGCCTTGGATCTTGGCCTGAGGCGTCCGAACGCCGCGGCGGTTGGGAACCCGTGCTGAGTCCATGGGTCAAACATAGCTAGGTACCCATTTAAGTAACCTGGTAAATGGAAACATGGACTAAGCGATGTGGTCCCCTGGTGGTTTATTTTTTGACCCACACCCAATTGACTGCCTGGATCGGAACAGTCATGATGGGTAGGCTCATCCAGCCCGACTTGACGGTGTTGCTACAATCCGCCCAAAGCTCTGCCGGATGTCACAGAAGGCGTCTGGAAAAACAAACACTCGCTTCCTTTTGAGAAAAACATCCATGGGCTATATTGCTCCCAGTTTGATGCCTGCCACGGCACGCTGAGAGCAAAGAGCCCGCCATCCAGCGGCGGGCCGAAATGTAGGTCGTTGCCCTGCGAGATCAATGCACTCAAACAGGCGGGTACCCTTGAGGCAGGTTTGAGCCGATCCCCAGTGTGCACTTTCCCGATGACATTGCCATCTTTGGAATGATGTGCAAATCCAGGGACCATTTTTGGGATTGACTCCAACGAGAAGCCAAAAGGCAACCAACGTTTTGGACGGGTCCCTATTTTTTTAACATGCGCCTGCACCTGAAAACATGGTCAGTACAGCTAGGGATGGATCTGAGCCTATTCCAATTGAAGGCTGCTTGGGATGCGTCAAATTTGGTCGTTTGTGTTGATAATGAAAGCAACTGGTTTTCTGGCTGTGTTTTAAAGTGTCGCAAGCCAAAATCAGGGATCTCAATGAAGAAAACTGCGTGAGGGGGCCGCAAACCCTTTGAGGCCGGACCGGCTGTTCGTTCCACCCTAAGCCTTCCTTGCACCTCCTTTGGGAGAAAAATAGAGCCAGCCCCCCCCCCCCCAACAGAAAGCAGAAAAGGCTACCCCGTCTCCATGCCCGGCCTAGATGGTCTGGGGATTAAGTAGTTCTCAACCTTGACCCTTACAAGGCTGCTAAATCAAACTTGTGCCCATCCCCATTCCCCCACCCCTCCCATCCGGCTCCACTATCTCCCTCTTTTCACAATCCCATGAATTAGTTGACCTTTAATGCAAAACCCCTTAACCTTGGCCTCATCTGGGGCCGAACATATCTTGTCTGATTCTGCTCCATACTTGGTCCACCCTGTAATATGTTTGGAGGAGCCCTCGACCCAGTTTAACCTTTTAACCCCATCTTCCCCGGTTGCCACCTGGCGCAGGCCCAAGCGCAGCGCGCGTGCGTCCAGCGCCAGCAGCGCGCCGCTGGGCAGCTGCGCCTGGAGGTCGCCCGGCAGCGCCTGGGATCTGGGCGCGGCTTGGGTTTTGGGGCGGGGGAGGGGGGGTGGTGGGTGGTAAGTGGGGGAGGGGGAGGGGATATTGGGGGAAGTGGGGGTTAAGTAGGGGGGTAAGTAGGGGTGGCAAGTGCGGGAGTATGATATATAGATGCACTCCCTGCCTGGACAGGATCATCTTCTGTTGGGAGCAGCATTCAGTCTAGGCACGCGCCCATTCGCTGAGCCAGCGGCTTTTGAATGATCTGACGGTCCTGGAACGTTTTGCGGACCCTCCCCTGGATTGAGAGTTGCCCTCTCCCTAAAACTCACGAAACTCGAGTAGCATGTTCATTCAATAGTCTGCCGAAACTTCGGCTTCCGCGATTCGAGGGCAGCGAGATGCACCATGACCCAAAATAGAGGGCGCTGAAAAATGAGTAGAAGCAAACTGGAACGAGTGTGCCATCTATTTTGAACCGAGCTCACCAAAAAGGATGCTTTTGTACCTTCAGTGTTACCTCAGCTTTAATCCCCAATGAAGTAAAACACTTGTGGTTCTGGTCCATAACCGCCACATGGGTATGGATCAAGATTCAACTGCCATAAATCAGACCGCAGGTTTTAGGTTTTAGTCCATTCTATGTACCAAGGCAACCCATTTCGGGGTGCCCCTATTTTCGACAACCACACCCATATATGGGTGTTTCTCAAAATAGGGGTCGCCTAGAATGGTTCATGTCACCTTCAAATGCCCAAAGGAGGTCCACCATTTTTGACAACCACACCGCACAACAAAACACCCCTGGTTGATCCCTCATGGATTCAAACACCGACCAAAGGTCCACCATTTTGAAAAAAACTCCCATGCGTAGGAGAAAAAACAACGCAACAGAAACAGGGATCCTTACATTGTACACCTGAACATTGCCTTGTAAATTGTGGTTTCCCCTTATTTGGGTGGAAAAAAACATTTTTCAAATGGGCAAATTGTATCCTCTAAGGAGCCCTGAAAAACAAAAGAGATTCGAGGTGACCTTAGGAATCGGGACAAAGGCGCGAGCAGCAGATCCAGCTGCGGCTCCTTCGCATTCAGAGAACCCACCGCCAAGCGGGAACCATCGCCATCCTGAGACAAGACGAAGCGACAAACAAAAGCGACACCTGGGCGTGGGTCAAAATTTTCAACCACAAGGGGACCACAGGCTTTGGTCCATGTTGCCACTTACCAGGGCAAGCCATTTTGGGTACCTATTTTTGACCCACAGCCACCTGGAGAACACGGGCCTTCACAAAATGGCTGTGGGTCAAAAATATGTACCCAAAATGGCTTGCCCTGGTAAATGGAAACATGGACTAAAACCTGCGGTCCCCTGGTGGTTTGATTTTGAGCCACAGCCAAATATGGATGCACAAAATCCTGCACTTGGGATGGAGAAAGCCCCATGAATACTGGGTTAAACCACCTGCCAACTGGTGCAGGATTCTGTCCGTGCACTCTTGTGGCGGCCTTCAAAAAAGGGTCTCAGATCTTACGTAGCCCCAGTTATGTCCCAACTTCTTTCGGAATCTAGCACAGAGTCTCTCCAGGTTCCCTGAAGTGCTGATCGGTTCTAGCCATGTTTGAACATGACGATGATCTGATGTTGGGGGCTCGCCACCAAAAGAACCTACGCGGGCCCTCTTTGCAGCACGGAACGCGTGAGGTCGTGGGTCAAATGAATTGAGTGCTTCGCTGAAGTAAACGAGCAAACAGACATGGTGCATTCCAATGATTTCTCCAGCATCCCGTCATATCCTTGCTACTTGGTTCGCCTGAAAATAGTTGATGTTCCAACAACAGCAGCGTGGCTTGAACAAGCTTCAACAGAAAGTTGGCCCCAGCCTTCATGTTTCAGTGGCTTGACCGGGTGTGCCATGGCCAAAGCCCCTTATGCCGGCCATATGCATGCTAGATATTTGGGGGTGATCAATATTCCTGGCCCCAAAATGACCATGGGTATGTGTTTCCCATTTAGTGGTTGTTTGTCAATGTTTTCTTTGTTGTTTCCCAGACGGTCATCCCATGCACAGGACCTTTCGATCAAGCACCACTTGGCATGATCTCAATTCCTAGGTCCGTGCCCTTGCTCAGCCGAAGTCCTCCCTCGCCCTCCCATTACTGCCGAAAGTTGGCTCCGTGGCTTACTATTCTCCACACCACCCAAACGTTGGGGTGAAGGAAACCACCCAACCCTTTGAGTTGAGCGTGATCAAACTCTCCTCTTGTTTACAACGAAATTATGGGAAACAAGCAGTCCAAGTTTGACTTTAGACTGCCACGAAAAGTCAAACCTGAATTTAATCACCAGCCGGTGTTGCCTAGATGGCCTTTTGAAGGAAAGCCGAGGCCCAACCTTGGCCCACATCTGACAGAAAATCATCTGGTCAGATGATGCTTCATGTTTGGTCTACATACTTTAAAGTATCACGTTGATCCGAGGCGCCACCAGCTGAAGCCCGAAGTCCCCGTTCACCAGCCGCTCCGCCCACGCCAGGCGCCGCAAGGGATCGGGAGTCAGCCCTGTCACTCCGCCTGCAAGCGGAGGCCTCGAAATCTCGGGCTCTGGGAAAATGATCTAAATGGGCGGCTTTCCGCAAGACATGTTTTGTTTTATTTGTTTTTAACCCATAGGTGTGTTTCTAGAATTTTCAGGGACTCTTGGGTTAAGGGAAGGCACAGGGAAACCATCCAAACAGTGGTGGCCCTACCTTAAAATGGGGATGCCCAAAATGGTGGCAATGGCGGTTTTCGCAAAACATTCAAGGGAAGCCCGGAACTGATAGAATTGTGTCTTTTCTCCTTGGTTTCCCGTTTAGACAATCCCAAATTGGGAACCTCAAATACGAAATGCTTCGGTCACAAAGGCCAACTTCAGCAATGGTCTGAGGTGGTTTCCGTAGTTTCTCACACGGTAAAAGCAGGGAATGACTTGTGCATGTCTTGCTGTTGGTTTCCTTTCGCTTTTCTGTTTGTACCCGTCGCGGACATTCCTTGTTTTACATGGTTTCCATCTGGTTGCCCTTGGGGTTGCCCATATTTTGTGGCCTCAATCCAACTACCGGTCAGTCTTTCCCAAGTCGGTTCACTTAGGAAACCGGACATGAATCCGAGGCCATAGGTGGGACACTTCTCCAGCTCGCTCGCGTTTCAGACATGCCGGAAGCCCCGGTGCTGGAGCAAAGCGCGCCGCCCGCTAAAAGCGCGCGCTTTAAGCGACGGCAGGTGGACAGGGCTCCAGTATTGGGTATAAATCCAGGCGTCTTTGACTGGAAAGCATGAAGCACAGCTGGGTTTGAGTCTCTTTAAAACGATTTTAATTCTCGTAAATACCCCAAACCCTGAGGCCAAAACCTGAGGCCGAGCCAACACTGGCAATAGGCGGGAACCACTTCCCCCTTTGCGCCTCCAAGAGATCTGCTGACCGCCCAGGAGACTTGGAAGGGCGACACGTAGAGCGAGCTGACCAGCAGTTCGCCTCGGACTCTGTCAAGCCGGAAATTGGACATTGGTTCCTTTTCTAGGGGTTGATTGCCCATTCTTTTCAAACATCGTTCTTTTCGAACACCAGCTGCTTCCCATAGCTTGTGGCTTCTAGAAAGAAGGTTCCTGGAAAGAATGGGGAATCTACCCTGAGACCTTTGGTGCAATCTGGAGCCCGTTTGCAACTCATTTGGGGTGCTCCGGAATCACGCACGTCTCCAGGAGGAGCCGGATGGATGCGGCTGTTGAGATGCTTCCCCCAACAATCAAAATGGGTATTGGGTTCCTTTACAGAATACAATGTGATAATGCAAAAAGGGGGCTCGTGTTTTCAAACCCCATTGAGGAGGTAATTCTAGCACATTCCAGCAGAAGTCCGTGCAACGGCGTCCATTGTCAGGCTGTTGGAACCTATCTTGCTCAAGCCTGCCTGTCCTGGATTTTCAGCGGAAGGATGAGGGTCAGGTTGATTCCCATCCAAATACCGACGCCCAAAAAGTCCAACTGGAAATACGTGCACTTCCGATTCAGCAGAACTGCTTCCACATTCCAGGTGTTTCCCTTCAAACTTCATAGTGCAGACTTGAGCCGCCTTGAGCAAATTCCTGCGGTCATCCCTCTTACGTTGTTCCATTATTGTTGTTTGTTGGTTTCAGGCTGAGTTACCCATCCGGTCCAATCCACTTTGAGGGTTGGAATTGGAATCTCTGTCCAATTCTGCAAACCATGCTGAGGCAAGGGAACCCAGAAGAACTCGCACTTTCCAAGCTTCGAGCTTGCAGAACCAAAGCGGAAGCGAAACGCGAATACGCCCAGCTACCAGGCAGTTTGCTGATGTTTATTAGTGCCCTTTCCGAAACCCGCGTGCGCTGCCCAAAAAAGAAGAAAAGAGTAGGATCTAGGAACAGAATGGGGAGATTCTAGCTAGATTCCCTGTGAACTGCTGAACACGACACCAGACTGGTTGATGTGTATGCGTTTGATTCGGACCACTTAGCTTGGCAACTGGATTCGCTGAACGCAAAGGCTCCATTCAAAGCTTCGTTGAAGGCTCCCAGTGGCCTGGACTAGTACTTCAAGTTGCAGACCATAAAGAGCGGCCGCGACGCTTCAAATGTGGAGGCATTGCACTGGAACACTGGCGAAGCACAGCGGAACGACTGGCGTACTTCATATCACGTGTGTGCAACTAACCACGAGTTGGTTGGACTTGGCTTCAAGCTTCATAGCGGGTGGTTGTTTTGGGGGATTGTTTGTGGAATCAGCCCATTTGCCTTTTGGAAACTTCAAGATTCCCATTGAGGGTGATTGACCATCTTCAAAGGGCCTGGTTTCGGCTGCAAAGACATGTTTTTGCAAAAACTCCCTGGCAAATCAAGAAGTGAGTCATGATCAAAGCGTGGTGTTTAAGCAGTTGGGTCTATCCCTTACCCTGTACCCGGGTTTTGATTGTGGGCTGTAGAATAAAGCGTCCAATGAGCCAGGTGTGCCCTCTGGTTGGTGGAATCTGACAAGCTGAATCGCTCAAAATCGAGGAACAAACAACCAAGCTGGTCGTCCATGGGTATGACAGTGCGACCTGAAAAGAGGACCCCGGGGCAAGCAACCATCATTCGCCATTTGCCCAAAGAGGACTTCATGCCTCGTCAACCAAACCATTCCTCGGCTTGCACCTCAAGCCACGGCCTATGTCCCCCAGGGACCAAAACCTTGGGCCTTAAAGCCGTGCAAACGTCCCCGTGCAAATTGGCGGGTCTCGCATCGTCAAACCCCGCGCGGGACTCGCAGCCGCGATGGCCCTCCCAAATCTGAAGGCGCGGGGCCCGCCGAGATGAAGAAGACCAGGTACCCGAAACCTGACGGCTTCGGAAGGGTGTTTTTCAAGGGAGCCGTGCTCCAAGTACACAAAGCGTTTGCCCTGCGCATGGTCATCCGAGGTGAAAGAACCCGTTGACCAACCTCATTTCAAGTTCGGATTAGGAGGAGCATAGCAAGAATCAGGGCTGGTTCGATGAAGGGAATCAGGCCATAGGGGGTATTTCACTGATTAATATGGTCCTCCGCAGTAATCCAAATTCAACTTTCGGCCAACCTGGCAATGCAAAACACCGAATGACGCTCACTGCCACATCAGTCCAAGCAAAACCCAAATGAAATTCAGCCACCTTGACAAAGTCTGTATGGGTCGGTGAGAAGGTCTTAAGAGCATCCTGTTGAGTGGAGAAATCAGTGGAAACGCAGGTCTCCTGGTTCCGGGCTGGTACAACCCTCAAGAACAAAGCAAGATCAGCAAGTGAAACATGAGGAATCCGGCCTGCCGACAAGATCAGCAGTGAAACATGAGGAGTCCATGCTATAGTCACAAGACTGCCGCACTGCCGGAGCTCATTTCGCCAAATTCAGGGCCTGTTCCCAGTGTCTATGCGTCTGTGGGTTTGCTGTTGGCGTTGCTTCAATCATCGTCCAAAGGGGGAGTCCTTTTTTTAGGCAACATCCACGGCGTGTGAACACACCGGAAGCATTGTCCAATGTGCTCATGCTACAAATGCCATGAGATTCACAACATGATCCATGGAATGTTGTCATGCTGCACACAATAGGCCTATGTAATTACATACTATTCATGCACATATGAGCGGTCAATATTCCCAAGTGACACAGATTCTACTGAGTAGCCCTTCTTCCCAATCTTCATTTGGTGCGTGTGGCCAAGGTCCTTCTCTTCACTACAGTGGCCGTTGCTCTCATGCATGTACATGTGTATATAAGTATTATGTATATATATATATGTATGATGGATATATTGGCTGGGCTGGAAAACGTGGAACCTGCAACTCCCAGAGCGAAACAAAGACAATGAAACCAATGCGATGCCCTTTCTAAACTTCCAGCCACCCCTATATTGACATGAAATCCCAGTGAGGAAACCTTCGGGGCACACCCTCAGTTCGCCCAATAGGCACAAGGAAAACAAATCGAAAGATGCCTCGGTTGCATTCTGCTCCCGTGCCAAAAGTTTAACGCTTGGTGGTTTATTCGGTTAAACCAATTCGTTGGCAAAAAGTTAAAGCCCTAACATCCCTTGGCAAAAATGCGCCTCTGCTGCGATTTCGCCTTCCCAAAAGCAAACCTCGACTGCATGCCGTGACCTCAGTGTAAAATCCCGGCAATGTGTGCTCAAACAGCAGAGGACCCTTGAAAATGGGAAGGCCCCTCAATATCAGATTGGATCGATCATATGATCGACGTCATACATTGCAAAACTAATACAAGTTGGATCCTTTAAACAATTCGGAATTCTAGCCTTCAAAAGGAAACGGTAACAACGCGGGAGGGAGCTACGTTTTGGATACGCCCCAGTGAAGGAAGTGCGCGCTTGGCTGAGTGTGAAAGGTTCAAAGCGGTTGGGCGGGCAGGGTTGCGCCAACCACTTGTAAAAAAAAACATACTCCTTGCGTCCAAGGTCTGGCGCACCATGCTCGTTCTGCAGCCAACCCTCACCGATCAAGCATGGCCCCCAATTCCGCAACCTGCCAACCCTTGTGATGACACAAGGTGTCGAAACCAATTCGAAACCAATTGGAAGTTGTGGCAGGCAGTCACATTGCTTTGGGTGGCTCAACTTGCATATCACTCTCTCCTTCGCCCATGCCTCTCCTCTTTTGTTGTTCATACTGTGGATGGACGAAATCCAATTCGCACCACTTTGAAACCAAGGGAAACCATTGTTTGTTGGTATTTACAGGCCAATCATCATTCGAGGGTTTCTTAGGTGGTGCAGGATTTTGTCCATCCACAGTATCAGATGGATATCCTTGTCACTTGCCGAGTTGCATCCACCCGTTCAAACATAGAACCGGTCCTTTCATATTGCCTCACCTGTCCTGCGCCCATGGGGGCCGACAAAAAGAAGGTACTTTTTGTGTGGTGATTTGCGAGGAACAAGAACTAAGAGGCCACCCGCCCCTATGTACACCTCGCCCGTTTCCTCCGGCCTGTGAGCCACAGCAGCTGGAAACTGCTCGCCTCCAGTTTCAGAGTCGACTGGAAGGCGCCCAAGAACCATCGATTGATTTAGGAACCTTGACGGAATCTTGGCATAATATCGAGCAACCAGCAAATAAAGGAGGGTTCGCTACTACGATTGATGTGGCCTCCGGGTCTCCGTAGGTCTACAGAAAGGTTGAACCTCCCATGGATTTCTGCATAGGCAAACCCAAACGGAGGCTTGGCAATCCTAATCCACAGACCAGATTCGGGCATGAAAACGTACACTGGGAACTGCACGCACGAAACAATGTCCTTGTTGAAGGGGAATTGCCATGGGCCAAGCGGCCAAGCACTGCCTGCTGCCACACCAGCCTTTTTGAGGCTCAAAACAACTTGTGTTTTACTTCGCAGCGAAGCAACACCTAAAGAACCAGAAAGAAGCGTCCGAAAGTCTGAAACTTGGCAGCAAAAGGCACGCCTGCAAAGACATTGTTTGGAGTTTCATGTACTCACTTCCTGAGTGAATTGGTCAGAAAGCGTCTGGGCTTTGGGCTTACTGCTACAGTAGTCCAAACCCCCCAGGAGAAACTCAGCGAGTGCGTGTAAGCCATCCTAGACTGAGCCGACCGTC